AGCATAATTTGTTAATGTGTCCGCCCGGATAGCGGAAGATGCGGGGTCGAATCTCATCTGAAACCTAGACTAGGTGGAAATTTTCCCGCCGGGCCATCTGCACCGTTAGGTAGTATTATTGATGGTACAAATGGCACTGATTTATCCCATTAGTACTATTGATGGTACAAATGGTACTGATTTATACCATTAGTACTATTGATGGTACAAATGGTAATGATTTATACCATTAGTACCATTGATGGTACAATTGGTATTGATTTATACCATTAGTACCATTGATGGTACAATTGGTATTGATGTATACCATTAGTACCATTGAAAAGTTTCTAGTAATATTTTCTTTAATTTTAAACATCTAGCAGTTAAATGTTTAAATAAAAAAAATATAATGATAAGTTTCTTTTTTCTATTCCGTGTAAATAAGTCTACAAAATCTTCAAATTTTTAGGATTTATGTTATTATTTTTAATATTTATTTTAATATACTTTCGCATTATGCATGTTAAAGAGTATTATGTTTATTATAGGATTACAATCATCTATTTGACTTCTATGTATATAGAACTTCTAATATTGTTAAATGACTACAGGTCACATGTGTTCCCAAATCCAGTTCGTTCTATCTATTAATGTCTACTTATGATACAGTCATTACTATATATTGTTTGAAACTTTCATGGTCACTAACATTAAAGTAATTTATGTTATTTATCAGCTGGATTGCCAGGTCTCCAGATTTTAAAGGAGATCTCCTGCTTTTCTAAAATGTCTCCTGTTCTTCTGTTTCTATACATGGAACTACTGCTTTCCTTAGAATATGATTTTATTTTTTAATTTGCGTGTTTACTTGCATTTTCATTTTTTAAGGGCTGCCGTTGCATCTACTGTTTTTTCTTACAGCTCTTTCCATACATCTGTCTCATTAATATATCTTTCTGCTTTCTTCTGTAACATCTCCCGATTTTTTAAAATCAGACCTGGAAACACTGTTTATCAGTCACTCGTGATCAACAGTGCCGAAATATCGAGGACTTGCTAAAAACAAGGTACATTGTAGCAATCCCGTTAGTAACATAGATTACTAAGTCATTACTATGATACTATTTGGATTTAAATATATAAAAGTTATGCATGTTACTAAAGCAAAAGATACGAGTCTAAGAGAAGATTTCTATGGCGTAGTTTTTCAGATTTAAGAAAGATTTGGGGAAATTAATTTTGATAATGTACTTGTTAAAGACCAAAAGGATTAAATTAGAGTTACTTTTTCTTTAAACTTAGAATAGACTTGATATTTAAGAAGATGATTGACGTAAGTATATAATATGTCCCGATATAATGATGAAATAGAAAATTCTTTATGTGAAATAAACAGAAGTAAGGAAGAACTCTAATGTAATATGAACGTAACCAAGTTGTCTAAAATCCAAAACATTTTTAGTTTTTAATGGTACAATACAAAAAATCTTCGTATAATATCTAAAAGTCTATTATTAAAAACTTATCCTAGATATTTTAATACATATTAATTAGTTTTACTACTTATAAATAAATATTGTGGTACCTATATATCTTTCCTAAATACCTAAAGGAGAATTCAATTCTATTTGCATTGCTGCTTCCCATCAATATACAATTACAAAATTAACGCAGCACCTTAAGAAGAAAATACAAAAGTCCCTGACAGCATTTGGTTCTGGTGCGATTATATAAATCTGTTTTACAGAAAATACAAAATATATTATTCGCAAAAAAGTTTTTTTTTTTTTGTCATCCAAAAATTGGTCAAAGTATCAATAATCGTGGACGATTCTTAACTTTAGGACGAAAATTCATTTTGAGATAAAGCCTTGATTTTGCTTTCGTGTTTTTTGTGATACTATGTGTCGCCGCACACGGGCCACCGACCACAACCACAAAACGCCGCTACCGGCATATTTCTTGTAGTTTTCATACATTTTATATTGACTCGCCACACACGGTACGCCGGTGGCCGCCACACACGGTACGCCGGTGGCCGCCACACACGGTACGCCGGTGGCCGCCACACGCTACAAATCGTCGTTGCTCGCTTCCTGTTTCCCGCACCGGCCACAAAACGATACAAAACGCCGCCACACGTCACTCGCGCGATTTTCCACCTCTCTCTTCCTTACCTTAGTCGGCCGCTGTCGCGCGCTTCAGCCGCTTTAGTAGCCGCTTCTAGCTTCTCGTGGCGGCGTTTGTGGCTGTGGCGTGTGGCCCGTATGCGGCGACACTATGCGTTACATAATAACTATATTTGGATAAATCTTTCTAAATATGAAATAAAATATATATCAGACATTTCTAAAGCATTCTAGATACTTTGGATGAAATTGCGTAAAAGTGGTCATATGCCTACTATTCAGTACAGGCTTGATACAGACATAATAAGAATATTAAAATCGTGCTACATTACAGGTAATATATTTATAAATACTAAATTTTCTCTAAACATATAATTTCATTGTGGGTTTCTGGCCTTTCAGTGCCCGGTTAAACTCACATCAAAATACAGAGATCTAATAATATTATTAATTTTCTTTACAAAAATATCACTATTCCACAAGTTCTCTATTAAAGCCCGTTCCATGCAGTATTCTTTGCGAATGATACGAAATTTGTGTTTACACTAGAAGATTATAATGTATATAAAGAGCATTTTATGGGTGTAACGATACCATTAAAAAGGGCTGCAGCAAAAAAATCCTTGGAATTCTCGTATATTTCTCATTATCCAAACCATATTCTTATTTCACAAAAGAGCATTTAGTATTCAAATATGTAATTAATTTAGTAAATAATACATATAACTAGTCTGGCCATTAATACTGTTACATATTTTTTTTTTTTTTAATTTTAATTATTTTCAATTTGGAACACATGTATTAAGAACTTCTTTCGATTTTGCGCCATGTCACTTATTTTTTCGTGTTCATTATCAAGTTTTAATATTGAATGGGGTGTTAAAGAAAATACGATTGCAGTGATCGCCTTGCACAAAGAGGCGTCGGTCCTATTCGTTTATCGTACTATCAACAGGTACAACAACACTTCGTTTGTCGAAGACCAGAAAAGATCGGGGTGGCCGCGTGCTGTTAGAACTACAAAAGCTGTTAATGCTGTTAAAGCCAGAATTCGTCGAAACCCCATTAGGAAGCAAAAAATCTGAGAAATGAAAATGCGTGAAATGAGGATTCCCGCTTGGACTCTATCGCGTATTATAAAACAAGACCTCGGTGTTTATCGTCGATATACAGGACATGCCTTAAATCAATCTTTACAGTTAAAGAAAGTGGATCGACCAAAACGCCTTCTGTCGCGATACGCAGGTGAAAAGCACAGAAATATCCTTTTGATTATTTATTGAAGGACGCTACACTAAGCAAAATGATAAAGTGTACGCTTACAGTTCTAAAGAAGCTGCTTAAGCGGTTGGAAAGGTAGGTATACAACGTGGTCATCATCCTGCGACAGTGATGGTTTGGTGGAGCGTGTCTTATCAAGGAGTCACAAAACTACATTTTTGTGGAAAAGGAGTGAAAACTTCAGCCAAAATTTATCAAGATACAGTCTTGGGTCATGGTGCGAAACCTCTCAGCAATACACTTTTTAAAAATATACCGTGTACTTTCCAGCATGATTCTGCACCTGGTCACACGGCACGGAATATCCAAGCCTGGCTTGAAACCAACGTTCCGGACTTTATAAGAGCTGAAGTCTGGCCCTCATCTAGCCCATACCTCAACCATTTGGACTTCAAATTGTGGTCAGTTTTGGAGGACATGGCCTGCTCTAAACGACACGGCGGCATTGAGTCTCTTAAAAAATCTTTAGAGCAAGCAGTGGCGAAATTTCCCTTTGAAACAATCCTGTCTAAAAGCCAAAGGTGGCTATTTCGTATAGAATATTTCTTTATTATTTGCTGAGACTTTTATAAACATGTAGGTATAAATTTTAATTACATTACTTCATTAAAAAAAATCATTTGTCACAGAACTTATGGCTGGACTAGGTATTTATATAGCATTTCCTACTTATTAAAAATAACATTACTCTTGATATTTAGCTGTATTAATGTTTAATCAGATATAGTCATCGGATATGATACAGTATACGTAAGATATAGTTTAAAGATATGCGTGAATATTATAAGTAATAAGTTAATTTTTTTTTCTAATAATAATGGTTCCCTAAATATGTACAATGTATATAGTTCAATGTTATATTATTATGTTTTTGACATTATTTACAAAACTAGTGCTAAACAATATTCGTTGTATGACATTAATGATGAAATTTGGATTTCGAGGGACTAGAAATTAATTTAAAGTCTAATATATTATTATAATAATTACTTGGAACATATTATTTGTAAATCTACTATCACATAATAACTCTACAGTCGAGAATTCTGTTACATAATTTATAACGGGATAAATATGCGCTTAGAGCAAGGGCTGTAAAAGCAATAAAGATTGTTACTTTAATACTTTAAAGGTTACAATAATAACATTTGACATAAATTATGGAATTAAAACTTTACGAAACAATACTTTTCATTACAGTACCTCCCCGGCAGTAAATATTAAACATTGACCGAATTTTAATAACATTGACTTTATTACCACCAAAAAGTTAGAGATGCGTACCAAATTTTTATTCCACAAAATTTACCTATACATTCTTTGAAACCGTGTCTAACCTTATTTGTAGTAAGACCGTTAATTTCTGTCCAACCAGGTGGTCTTCTCGGAAAGGAACGAAACATTAAAACAACTCACCAATACCAAACAACCAATGAAATCACAACAAAAAACTTTCACAAACAAATCACAATCGCGACAAATCGAAACCGACCACAATAACCACCAATCATGTGCGTGCGTGAAACAAACACTTCAGAAATAGTGAACCTTGTCCGCATTCTCGAAATGCACGTGCTTCTTGCCGTGCGGCATTACAACCAACAACCATCAGGCCGAGTTCACTTTGACTTTCACCTTCACATCACCCTTGTCCTGTCTGTTCAGCTTGTCTGCATCGCAAGGCTCGTTGATCTCTGGTATTCTCTTGTCGTGGTGAGCGTCCGCGTGAGTGAGGACCTCTTGTACGTGGATGGTGAGCTCAGGGCGGACCACGTGGGTGAAAGGCAGCAAGGCGCCGGCCACGTCCATGGTGTTGTTGATGTTGCGGTGCCAGAGCTCTAGCACGACGCTTCGCCGCTGCTACTTGTACCGAGGCGGGCCGAGCCAGCCGCAACCGAACACCTGTTGATAAAATAAATGTTGGCATGAGCGCAGAACACAGAAACGCTTAGAAGGGCCTTGGGGCGCGTCACCGTTGAGTCCTAGCAAATGCTCATGAATTGACCAAAACTTGATTCTGATTGCGTCGTTGCTATCGGGTGTGAGCGCAGATGTCGCGTCGTTTGATTGGCAATTATCCATTAGGTGTATATTAAGTGGCAACAACCTGACGACATTGGTTCTCGTACAAACGGTTTATGATCACCTATTTAACCTCTTTCTGTGTTCTGTGGGAATTAGGGTGTTTAGGAAAAAATTACGTCATCACTTGACGACACTGTGACATGAGGTCTTTTGTACAAAGTTTTTGGTGCGAATTAATCGAAGGAGCATTTAAATTGATTCATTGACTATGAAGACATACGTGAACTGAAGAAATGATTAGACCTTTCGTCTCAATGCTGCCACCTGGTTCCTGACATTCCAGAAAACCCTCATTGCCTGCGTCTGTGTTTCCGAGTTCATACATTCTGAATCTTTTTAAAGCCAGAGTGAATAGGCTCTTTCTGGGAAAGCTAGCTACATCGTAGATCATATCTCTGTTTTCGGGCTGGAAAGGATCAAGAGCTTACCCATTAACAACAAAACAAAACAAAAGAAAAGAAAAGGGAAAGGAAGTTTCAAAAATTTAGGGTTGTATGTATTTTTAATGCCACATTATAAAAAAAAAAAGTGACAAATAAGTAAAAAATAAATGTTAGAATGAATTAATAAAATGAACGAATCAAATACACACATCAAAAGTGTCTAGGGATCAACATATATTTTTGCAATAACTTTTCTCCTGATTGATATTAATTAAAATTTTCTTTAAGGATTCATCAAATAAAGTGTTTTCGTTTGTCACAGTAACGATAAACCAAGTCACCTTTGCATTAATAAAGAAATTTGCCATTTTCCTAATAAAGGGATTTTTGACATTTGAACCACTAACACAAAAGTTCGAAAAAAAGACTGAAATAACAGTTTTCTCTAAAATTTTATTGGGTAACTTAAACAATTAATAATCCGTATTTCTACCGCGAACACTAACAACACAAGAACATCGGTTTGGCATACTCAAAATGAGTTCATCCAAATCACGCTGTGGAATGGCCGCCCATGTTCGTTGCAACAACAAAAAAAGGTCTTCTTGCGACTGGATACCCTCCATATTCGGCAGAGCTCTTCTCTGTAGCATATCCCATGCATGCTCAATCGGGTTCAAGTCTGGCGACTGAGCAGGCCAGGGCAGGACATTGATGTTAGCTGCGGCGAGAGTCTGTCTTACAACTCTTGCGGTGTGCGGTCGTGCATTATCATGCATTAACTGAAATAAGGGACCGATTTGCACTTGTAGAGGAACGATGACGTCTGATACAATCGTCTCAGCATAAATTTGAGCGTTGAGGTTGCCTCTGATCCAAATCAACTCAGTTCTTCCGCCGATCCAAATACCCGCCCATACCATGATGGTTCCACCACTATAAGGATGGACTTCCTGGCAGGATTTTAATCGCTGTTGGCGTCCAGGGGTTCTCCAGTGTCGTATACGTCTTGTATCCGGTCTCATACCAAAACGAGACTCATCAGAAAAGCACACGAAACGCCATTGTTCTTCTGCCCAATTTCTGTGTTCAAGAGCCCATTGATATCGAATCCTACGATTGTGCATTGCTATAGGTGGTACCCGTAGCGGTCTTCGGGAATGAAGGTTCACTTCATGCAAGCGGTTTCTGACTGTTTGGTCGCTAATTAAGTTCCCTGAAGAGTGATGAAGCCTCACGGCTAACATCATGGCGGTTATTGTTGGAGCTCTTCGAGTTAAGATTTGAATGTATCGGTCTTGTCTCCGTGTGGTGCAGCGATACCGTCCTCCATGGCGCTCAGCCACGGTACCAGTGCTTCGGTATCGTGTCCAAAGTCGACTGATAACACTCTGACTTGTATTCAGAGCTAAAGCCACAGTACGTTGCCGGGAACCAGCTTCTATCATTCCCACGGCTCTGAGCATTTCTTCCCTGCTTAAATGACGTCGCCGCTCCATAATAACGTTGGTTTTAATCAGTAGTAGGGAAACAGTAGCACTAATAATGTCTTTAATGCGTTGTATGTTTTTATAGGGAAAATATTGACAGCTGATTTTCATCTTTTACTCGAATTTGATTCACAGTTCCTGATTCAAATTATGCACCAAAAAGGATCCATATAAATTTATAAAATCATAAATTTATTACAAAGCCACATCTCAATCTCAAGAAATCCGCATAAAAATGCTTGATCCCTAGACACTTTTGATGTGTGTATTTCGTAAATTAAATCAAGTTAAAATTGTACATAGAAATGTTTGCTATTGCCTTGTATTGAGAGACAGCATTCTAGAAATGTACTTACAGGTGAATAAAATTACTTAATAATAAATCCAAGTAAAGCAGCGTTATGATTTCAAGAAGGCCAAGTCAACCCTTTCCTTATCATACTTAAATATGAATTCAATGACTCAAAGAGTACAGCAGTTAAACATTAATTTTAACAAACTCCTTGACTCGTTTCAAAATGGGTAGATATCTGGAGTTGGAGAGACGACACGGCTCATCAAAAAGTTTTACAAACTTGTGTTTAGCATTAAAATTTATTTCTTCATCCACCCACCGTTTTATCGATGTTTTAAACTGTATCAACAGTCGTCAAAAGCTTGATACTTCTTTGCAGTTTAAATTGAATTTATTTAGCAAAATTGATTCATTCATTTTAACTGAAATGAAACGGTTCATGAGATACAATACAAGTCTCAATTTGGAGTGAATCTTGTACATGTTTTTGGTTATAAAGTACACAGAACAACTAAAGATGCTAATTAAGTTGATATTAGTAGGTTAGAACTATGATGAAAGTAAATTTCAACACGCTGTTTTATCTGTCGAAAAGTGTTTTATTAATTATTGTGCAAACATATATAAATTATGATTTTTTTAAGCTATTGCATAGATTTTATCGCGGACTTTGAGCGCGGCGACCGATTCAAGAAATTCCGTAACGTCAATAACCTGACAACAGTGCATATGAATGAACACAATTTTCGCCTTTCCAGTATCGATCGAAACGACGCAGTGTGTTAAATTTTTGCCACTATTATTTTTTATTTTAATTATTTTCCTTTTTTTATATATTTGTTTCAGACCCCAGCACCTGTTCATATTTTTATTTGTCTCCCTTTTATTTAGACTTTATAATTATAATTAAAATTTTTGGACTAAAAATGGTAAACTGTGGAGCTTGTGGAAGATTTTTTTGGCGCCGGGAATGCTGTTGTTTGCTGTGCTTGCCCAATAAAATATCATAAGGCCTGCCTTGCCATCTCTTAATGTCAAAGAAAAAACTTGAATTAATATCAAAGAAAAGAAATACTTACTGCATAAATAAAATAAATAAAAAATGGTTGCCTGTAAAGTCGGTTTTACGGGCGAAGATTTTACGTGACAACGTCTTTTTCTCGGTAGAATATTTATTGATATGAATATAATTAAATTGCACAATAGGAACAAGGAATTGAATGAAAATAAGAATTGCACAAATTTTAACTATAGAAATATATTTTGTTTACTAAAACATTGTACATGTAAACTTAAACTTAACACGAGAGACTCATCGTAACGTTACCGAGCGTTACACTTTTTCATAAGTGACTCCCAGCCGCAACCTAATTTAAGACGTTGTCACGTCAATAATTATAATTGCATAAGTTAATAAATAATGCTCTGCAATAGCTTTACCGCGGCAGTCCCCGAGTGCCACACAATGAAATATTAAGATATTAGGTACAATAACAATGGTTCGAATAACAATGAAATATTAAGATATTAGGTACAAATATCGTTGGTTAGGTAAAATAAATATTCGCATACGTTACTGTGTGTAAATAACGTCGGGGTTTTCAGAAAATACGCGATTCTTTAGTATCAATAAAATACGTCTTATATGTACATTACGACGAATACTAGGAAAAGTAATCCATCACACTTTATCAAACATAATGTGAAGACGGATGAAAGGTCACAATATTCTTTGTACAAAATACCTACAGTCTTGTCACAAGGATTGTATTTCAATGTAATGATTAGTTATAATAACGTAAAAGCGAGGTTTCTTCCTGTCAATTTGTCTGTATGTCAAGAAGAAACCTTGAATGTATGTTATTATTTTGATAGTGAATTTTATCTTGGACTGAGATCAATTTAAAAACAAAACTCGTCAGCCTCTGTCAACAGACTGGGTAGTTTTGGACATTAAGTGTCGCCTCACACGGGCCACCGACCACAACCACAAAACGCCGCCACCGGCATATTTCTTGTAGTTTTCATACATTTTATATGGACTCGCCACACACGACACGCCGGTGGCCGCCACACACTACAAATCTTCGTTGCTCGCTTCTTGTGGCCCGCACCGGCCACCTAATGCATCATCATCATCATCATCATCAGCCTATTAATGTCCCCACTGTTGGGGCACAGGCCTTCCCTATGGATGGAATAGGGAGATTGGGCCATGACCCACCACGCGGGCCCAGTGCGGATTGGTGGGTGCTAACGACTGCAGATGCAGCCGGGACCAACGGCTTAACGTGCCTTCCGAAGCACGGAGGAGCTCGAGATAGTAATTTATGGTCACCCATCCAATGACCGACCACTGCGAAAGTTGCTTAAGTTCAACGATCGCAGCCGAACGCGCTTACCACTTGCGCCATCGAGCTCCACCTAATGCGCCGATACAAAACGCCGCCACACGTCACTCGCGCGATTCCCCACCCTCTCTCCTTTACCTTAGTCGGCCGCTGTCGCGCGCTTCAGCCACTTTAGTAGCCGCTTCTAGCTTCTCGTGGTGTTGTGGCTGTGGCGTGTGGCCCGTGTGCGGCGACACTAAGGGTCTGATGGTCTGACACTTATGCTTCCGTACACCCCATGACCAACATCGTGGATTTATGTTTTCTCGTTACTCGCACAACACTCATATTAGAAGTTCTTCAACTTTCTCTCTTTATGGACCGCGGTCAATTTCAGGCAGCTATTGTTCAGACCATTATCTATGTCTAACCGCCATGAGGTTTGTATCCCGCTTTAACATTATTACATCATTTACAGATCGCACCAAACTTCTAGTCTATTCTGAACACTGCAAAATTCGGAAGACCAACGCAAAAGACACTTATAATAGTAGGACGAAGATTGCGTATACGGCTATATATAAACCTGCGCAAAGCAACTCCAGAGTGGACTAGAAGTTTGACGCGAACTTTATGCAGGAGCGTAGCTGTAGCGGGCTACTGTAGAACCAGTCCTATAGTGGGATATCACAGGCTCGTTCACGCACTGAACGGACAGACAACCGACACTTCTACTCTCGCTCACAGCTCTCGTATTACTGACGTGGTGCGAACAAGACAGTGTTGCCTGTCACATAGAGAAATGTCAAAATGCATACACTACAGCTACTCACCATTTGCTAGTCAATCAAAAAAAAAGTAACAAATGCCTCGAGGAGGTCGATGGCGTGGGTGGTAAGCGCGTTCGGCTACGATCGCTGATGTGAAACAACTTTCGCGGTGGTCGGTTATTGATGGGTGACCAAAAATCTTCTATCTCGAGTTCCTACGTACTTCGGAAGCACCGGCCAATCCGCACTGGGCTCATGTGGTGGGTGGCATGGCATAATCTCCCTATTCCATTCATAGGGAAACCAGGTGCGCCGGCAGTGGGGACATTAATAGGATGATGATGATGATGAACAGTTCTTGTAGCGACCTCTCGCAGACAGCCGCGTCGGACCATGGCCCTCTTGGCCCAAGGGTAAAACGCCCCTGGCTGTATGGGTGACTTTACCTGACAGACGACTAATGCCAGAATTTGTAGCATCGGAGTCAGCACCATACGACTCCCAGCTGTGTGAGAGCGAACACGTACAGCGTGTGGTGACACCACTGCTTCAGTTACAAACATTTCTTAGAGAACATTGTATATACCTGACAGACAACGAACGCCAGAAGTAGATTCATCAGAAGCAGGACCACGCCCCAGACGACTCCCAGCTGTATGAGCGCACAGTACAGAGTGCGGTGACACTACTGCTTTTGTAACAAAAAAATCTTTAAAGAACGTTGTAATTATATTCTTTACCTGACAGTCGACTAATGCTAGAAGTAGATGCATCAGAAACAGCACCACGCCCCACACGAATCCCAGTTGTGTCAGCGCGAACAGGTATAGTATGCGGTTATCCCACTGGTTTGGCCACTAACATTTCTTAAAGAACATTGTTACTACATAATATACCTGACAGACGACTAATACCAGAAGTAGGTGCATCAGAAACAGCACCACGCCCCACACGAATCCCAGTTTTGTGAACGCGAACACGTATAGTATGCGGTTACACCACTGGTTTGGCCACTAACATTTCCTAAAGAACATTGTTACTATATAATATACCTGACAGACGACTAATGCCAGAAGTAGGAGCATCAGAAGAAGCACCACGCCCCACACGACCCCCAGTTGTGTGAGCGCAAACACGTACAGCGTGCGGTGACACCACTGGTTCGGCTCGAACAGAGTGGGCGCATAGTCCGGCCAGAGGATGCCCAGCGTCCAGTAGTTGCCGAACGCAAACCTGTTGAGAAGAATTGTCTTCATCATTCATCATCAACAACATTTTTCATGTCCCAAAGGCACCTACAACCTTGGTCGTAGAAGTGAAAATTGTGCTGCGGCCAGGGGGCCATTCGCCTTACGGAAATGCTTTGGAAAACGCCAACGCTTACGATTTCATTTTGTTATTTCTAGCCGCCTGAGGTTTTCAAATGCCTCGCGCTCTTTTTTTTCTTTTGCATTGGTAATAACAATATTAAAGAAAATGAGCGTGATGTATTTGAAAATCTTGGGCGGTCAGAAATAATAAAATAAAATCGAAACCGTTAGCGTTTTCCAAAGCATTTCTTTAGGCGATTGGCCCCCCGGTTTGCAGCCACGACCACGACAGGCTTTAAGGCGTCCACAGTCGTGGTCGTTTCTTTATTTCATTAAATAAAAAACGAGCGAGCCTTACAGTAGTCGCGTATGATGTGTAACATTTGAAACATCACCTTATATTAGTAAAAAAAGAAATAAAACCTACTACAAAAGGAATAAGCCATTTGAACATTATGTTCTAAAATCAAATCAAAGAGCGCGCGCTTTCGCGACTTCCTGTTACACACTTCCGTCCCATTTCACGAAATCACTCCCACAAATTGCAGGAAAGCGAGAGGAAACATGTTACACATCAATAACTCTTATCAAAACTCATTGCAGATAAAAATTACGAAGAAGAAAAATACGAAGTGTGTTCACCCACGAACTGTCCGCATGAAACTGAAAATGGCTGGTCGCATTCACGGTCGCAAATCTAGTGCGCGACTTAGATTAAAACAAAAAGGGTAGATACTGTACGCTCATACTTGCATCAAACAAAAACTGATCCCACGGCAGCGCGAACGGGACGGCGAGATCCGCGTCACTGCATTACCGACCCGAGCGAAACAGCACGTTAAGTTTCAATTTTATTTTTAGTTCTTGAGCAATTTGAGCACTTCTTAAAAACATACTAAGGCATTGTTTTATCATAAAAACACAAAATATTATCAATATTTCTTTTTGGCGTTCACATGTACGTTATTTGCATGTCAAGTTGTGACGAAAGCGATTAGGGTCGTGGACCACAATTTGTACGGATCACTTTTGTGAGGCTAGTGCCGTATCAACCCTTTTTGTTTTAATCTAAGGTGCGCGAGCGTTTATAGCAAACTATACGTAAGTTGGCCGCAACAACTAGTCGTGCCAGCCTTCAGCAACTTTCATATGGTTTCTTTAGTTAATCTGGTCATTGCGACCATTGGCCGTGCTCGTGGCCGTCTAGTGGGCGAGTTGCCTAAAAATGTCTGAATGGTTAGATGAATTCATAACAGGCAGTCACTCGCGCGTTACCTGTCCTATACCATCCGCAAATCCAAGGCCTCGGAACCTTACTGCCCGATCGAAACAATACACTATTGTATTGAAATGAAATTAATAGAAACTTTATTCAATTTGACTTATTATGAGCTTTTTTTAATCGTCTGTATATTTTTGGAGTTTACTCCTTAAGAATCGATTTGCATATATAAGGGGCCCGGTATGAGAAAAATGTGAGGAGTAAAATCTATCGATGAATGACCTCGTTACGTTTTTGGTGCGCATCCTATGTCGCGCAACTTTGACAAACAAAGATGACGGATTGACATTAATATTTTTTTTTAAATCTGAACTGAATATAGATATTGTTTCTGGTAGAGCAATGGGGACAACGAGGTATTGTACAACCATTGATGTATTTTCAAGATTCGTGAACCACGTATCTACGAACGTCCATGTGTCTTATTTTAGTTACCATAAACCACTTGTCACTGTAATTAATAATGCAATGTTGATTTAATTAATATTTCAAAAAATGATAATAGTCTGATAATAATAATTACATAATTTATCAACATTCCTAATGATATATTTATGCACATCTGAAATTGACTATTAAAAAAAGTTTAATGTAAAATATTTCGTCGATTAGTTATAATCAATATATATGAAATGAATAAATATATATTTATATATGTATATTATTTTCATTAATTTGTTAATTTACCCTTTCATACAGTATCAATCTTTTTTAAGTTAAATAAACTCTTTTTTCGTCTGGTTAGACTATCGAACTTAAGGAGCAAACTCCAGTCGTGCGTCGGAGCTAACACACACAATTTTTTATTTGTCCTTCCACCTGTTCAGGGCATCTTTCATTTCACATAAGAAGACAAAAATCTGTCCTTTATGGATGTGAAGAATCGGGTGCGGATGACGGATCGCTTGGTCAATCCATTTACCGCAAGCCTACATACACTAACCGCTATCTCAACGCCTCCTCGCATCACCACTATTAACATCTTAACTCTATAGTTTTAATTATTTATAAGTATGTAAATGAGTAAAATAACAATTTTACTGTAATTTTAGTTTGCGAATTAATATCATTTTCTAATCACAAACTTACTATCTGAATAGTACGGGACACAGGTTAGCAAAATTTAAAAACATTACATATAATAATATTCACATATCCTTATGTATAACATAAATTAGCTACGAATAAAACTTTATAGTAATTTAAGTTATTTACGGGATTGTTACAATCTACCTTGTTTTTAGCGAGTTTCCGATATTTCGGCACTGTTGCAAGCGAGTTTCGAAGAACAGTTACTAAGTGAATAGTGAGAATGTGAACAGTGGTACGGGTATCGAACGTAATAAAAGACTTCATCGGAGGGTAGACCGGTATGTCCGCCAATAACTGCCTACCCGCAATTACTTCAGTTACTCCGTGATCATGGCGCTTGCAACAGTGACGAAATATCGGAAACTCGCTAAAAACAAGGTAAATGGTAACAATCCCGTAAATAACTTATATTACCTACTATAATGTTAGTGACTATGAAACTTTAAAATAATAGACCAATAAAACGTCTCATTACTCGGCAATATCATAATTTGAGGGCATTAAGTACCAAAGCCACCCAAAAATTCGTCGCGCAGGTATGAGAGAAGCATTAAAGGGGCAATAGAAATATACTTAACTAGCGGCCCGCCCTCGCTTCGCTTCGGTGTAGAGCTGAAGTGTAGACTATAGTTTTTGTTCTCAGGTTTGTATTATACACAATGATATTGATCTAAGATTCTTCTTATACCTGCATGCAAAGTCTCAGCCCGATCGGTTTAAAATTGACAAAGGTTCATACAAACTTTCATTCCCTATTTTATCTCCTTGGGAGTAGAATTGATCAAAATCCATTCTTAGCGGATGCCTACGTCATAACATCTACCTGCATACCAAATTTTAGACCAATCCGTCCAGTGGTTTGGGCTGTCCGTTGATAGATCACTATGTCAGTCAGTCACCTTTGAGTTTTATAAATATACTAGTGGCCCGCCCTCGCTTCGCTTCGGTGTAAAGCTGTAGTGTAGACTATAGTTTTTGTTCTCAGGCTTGTATTATACACAATGCCATTCTTCTAATACCCAATTACAATAGGCACGCGCCGCCAAGCCCGGTGGCGCCGCTATGTCCCTGAATTTTAAATTTGTAATATCTTCGAAAATATTCATTTAAATTATATGCGTTAAAGGGCCAAATTGTTCTATATTAAATGCACAATGTATTTAAGGTACTTAATTGGATAAGGATGAATGTTATATTGCTTAAAATCGCTTCGTAAATAATCTATTATTTCTCGTAAAAAGTATAGGATAAAAGTTGGTTATTGTGGGTTATCCTTAAGAGATAGACATATACCATCGCGGACTTTTTTGTAGACCTTTTAAGGTGTACAATACTGTAGTACATTATTTTGATCTATCTCGTGGGGTTCAGCCAGAGTTTGCAATGTAAGCGCAAAAAATGTGTTTATTTACGACCTTACATTAAAAACCTCTAAAATTATCAGTGTTGCTTTACTATATTATGCATGTATTATACATATAAACCTGCCTCTTGAATCACTCTATCTATTAAAAAAAACCGTATCAAAATCCGTTGCGTAGTTTCAAAGATTTAAGCATACAAAGGGACATAGGGACAGAGAAAGCGACTTTGTTTTATACTATGTAGTGATGATAGGTAAATGAAAATGCATTGCCCAGAACATATTTTAAGAAAATTAATGTTTAAGCTCCAAGTACAAACAACCCCCAAACTCGAAACCACAAAGAGGTCATAAAAGTAGGTACTTTTTACATAAGCACATTTTATATGATAACTTATCATCATCATTAGCTTCTTTATATCGTAACTGTGGAAGCACGATTTTTCCCTAAGGATAATCATATAGGAAGAACGGGGAATAACGTATTACGCGGGTACATCAAGACCACCCGCCAAGCATAGGGGGTTTGAGCTGAAATATTTTTATATGACTACCAAAGAAGGTGTGTAATATTATTTGTATACTAAAGGATGATAGTATAGGACTTTTTTCATTGGTTGGTTTTATTGCTCCTATTAGCTGCAGCGTTGTGCTATATAGCAACGAGGTCGATGAGGAGCTCGATGGCGCCAGTGGTTAGCGCGTTCGGCTGCGGTCGTTGAAGTTAAGCAACTTTCGCAGTGGTCGGTCATTGGATGGATGACCAAAAATTACTATCTCGAGCTCCTCCGTGCTTCGGAAGGCACGTTAAGCCGTTGGTCCCGGCTGCATCTGCAGTCGTTAGCACTCACCAATCCGCACTGGACCCGCGTGGTGGGTCATGGCCCAATCTCCCTATTCCTTCCATAGGGAAGGCCTGTGCCCCAGCAGTGGGGACATTAATAGGCTGATGATGATGATGATGATCGCTTACATATATCGATATGTTTTAAAATATCTTGCACTCCTAGTCGTGTCGCGATCCGATACTGTGACTATTGCGTGTCGAGAAAAGTGGGAATTGAGAGTGAATAGTATGTAATAGTATGTGAATAGTATAAATAAATGACATCGTCGGGTGGTAAACCCATATATATATCTGCCAATAAGAGCCTACCCACAATTACTTTAATTACTCCGCGATCATGATGCTTGCAACAGTGCCGAAATATCGGAAACTAGCTCAATACAAGGTACAGGGTAACGATTTCCGTAAATAACATACATTACTATAATGTTAGTGACAAAGAAAGTTTAAAACAATACAGATATATTCCTATTGTGTCCCTACTGTACCGCTTGTTACACTGTTCCCCATTTAAACCTAATTAATTATTAAATTATATATTATAGTGAGTTTAAATGTGAGATGAAATACATGTGTTAGTATAAAAAATGTTTCGTAAATTGTGCAATATTTTCTTTAAAAAAAACCCGGAACTGCGTATTCAAAACAGATAAAAAAACTTTTCATTTCTTCTTATTTAAATGACTGATATAAGTGTGGTAGGTACTCCAAAAGTTTATTTACAATTAAATAAAAATTTGTTAAACTTATTAAACCTAAATCTTTCTGTTTTTAAAGCGCAATTAGAAAAAAGGTTCAGATTCTACAAAAAAAAAAATACTGAATAGTCTAATTTGGCGAAAGGTTAAAAAGGTAACTTGAAACGGTCGCTATAATTGGCTCCCATCTCTCTTATACAGTGAAAATAATGTTACATTAATAAATTTGTCTGAAAGGAATCAAATTGAAATTGCAAAAACTGTTCCTTATGTCGCGGGGAAAGAAAAAGAATTATAAGGGTTGTGAACAAGCAAGTGATAGTCATAAATTTCGTGCGGGATTGGTAATGTCACTGCTAAGCGTCCGTGACAAAGCTAAGGTCAGAATGGCTCGTATAGGAGCTCTACTCTCTTTCTCCGAAACGAAATTTCGTTAATGAACGAATTTCAAACGAAATTTCGCCACTATTTTATTTTCGAACACACACGTAAAGTTCGGACTCACAAACAATTTTCGTGAACGAATGGAATGAGTCATGTTTGTGAGTTTTTTTATGTTTACTTTTTAAATAACGTTTTTTACTTGGAAACAATGTTACTTTATGACAACATTTTTGATAACATTAAAAGTATCTTTTCTGACAGTATTAGCCGACAAATTTGTAGAGTTGATACAATCGATTGTATGTCAACATAAATTTGTAGTTTAATTTAATTTTGAAGTATTGGAAATACAATTAATCATAAAAATTTCGTTTCTTTGTTAATTTTACATGCTATAAAATGTTTCTCCAGCTAAGCAGCCTGGAAGAAAAATACTCTATCAAGCATAAAAATCCCAAAACGAAAAAGTCGGTTTTACGGGCGAAGATTTTACGTGACAACGTCTTTTTCTCGGTAGAATATTTATTGATATGAATATAATTAAATTGCACAATAGGAACAAGGAATTGAATGAAAATAAGAATTGCACAAATTTTAACTATAGAAATATATTTTGTTTACTAAAACATTGTACATGTAAACTTAAACTTAACACGAGAGACTCATCGTAACGTTACCGAGCGTTACACTTTTTCATAAGTGACTCCCAGCCGCAACCTAATTTAAGACGTTGTCACGTCAAAAGAAAAGGTAAGACTTTTCATTTCGTCAATTTGAGGTTAAAATTTCGAACAATTATTATTATGTTAAATTCAGCTTTTCGTTCGAAAGCATTGTGAATTAGAGTATGCTTGGAGAATTTAACTATCAAACTATTGTCGGACGAACGAATTTTCGAAATGAAAATGAAATAGAGTAAGAAACGTGCGAACTTTCGACCGAAATTTCGTTTTTCGTCGAAATAGAGTAGGCCTCCTGTTCCTTTCTCGCTATTCCTATTGATATAATAGTATACCTAACTATGGCTTCTATTATTTGAGGAGCTGGCGAACAAAACGGTTTAATTACGCATTTGGTCAAAATACTTTTTTTTCCAGTTCGGAGGTTTTGGGCCCGCTGAATTTGAATCTCAACTCATTTTCAATCAAAACCGCCTTAAGCATGTTAAAGTTAATAATTTAAAAACCACGTCAAAGGCTCACTGTAAGTCTGTCATTTAGTTTTTTACTGCTTCTGTGAAATTAAATTTTACTTTTATACCGTATTGTTCGCCAGCTCCTCATTTCGTATCCATGAATGTGTGTCGAATTCTTATAATTACTAAATCAAAACTATCGCGAGCTGATTAATAAAGACAGGGAGTCCATTAAGAGCCCATTCACATTTTATGCAAAAAATCATACATTTTTGAGCGCCTCGTTTAACCCCTTAAAAAAGATTATGACTATTTCCAATAGAAGTAAACAGTAGATTTATTTTTCCTATTGTAAGTAAATGTAGAATATTTGCAAATTCTATTTACCTATTTTGTACTAATCGTTCTACCGCAGCTAGTTTAGGGAAAAAACTATATGCACAACTTTAAACGCCTGAATCTCTAAATAATGTTCAATAAATTAGATCAAATTAATTGCCACGACATCAGAAATATGATTTGGATGTAACATAATATATTAGAATTTTGTTTTTCTATCTCATTCTTATCAAAAAAGACATCTAACCTCCATGAGTTTTCCCAAAAAAAAAATGCAGGTTTACCTCGTACTTTGATATTGAATTAAACAGAATTACTATCAAAAACTTTCATAAAACTAATCTACCATCATTGAACTACTGTTTATATATATTTTTATAATTAGTTCATTAATAATTTATTTTATAAGACTCGAAATATCACCCGTAAAATGCAATATTACTAGTGCAAATCTACCTACGCGCCGATCAGTACAGCACCGGTGCAATTTTAATAATAAATAAATAAATATTTCCAACACTCACACCAATTAGCCTAGCCCCAAAGTAAGCACTATAAGGCTTGTGTTATGGGATACTAGGGTAACGGATAGAATACATATACTGTACATATATAAGTATATTTATATAGAAAATACATATTAAACATCCATGACTGGAGTACAAATGCTCGTATTCATCACACAAACATCTGCACTCACCGGGATTCGAACCCGGGACCTCTCGAGTCGGCGACACCATGAAACCCGGCGTACAGACCACTCGGCCACGGAGGTCGTCAATTTTGTAAAAGGGTTCTTAAGTATGTACCTAGTAGCAAATAATAGGATATTTCTTATAACGTTAAGTAACCCTTCAGTAAAATGAAGTAATATGGTTAAAATAAACTTTGGAAACAGTATCATTCTAAATTTTTCATTAAATTTTAATAATCATAAATACCTAATATGATAATTGTTTTTTTTTTTATCATTTAATAAGAAAGAACTTTATCTCAGTTTTATCGTAAGTACTTCGTATAAGATAAGATACTGCGAGTAGCCCATTTTTTTCCTCATAGGTTTTATCTACGTTTCTTAACTTCAAAATTCATCAAAATTTCTTCTCCCACCATTTCCGCAGTCTGCTCCTGCATAATACCCCGCGCTATCACTTTGTCATCGTTGTAACTTTTTAAATATTTGTCGAAATGACATAGTGTAAAAGGCAAAGTTTATCGTCTTTAAATATCAAAAGCGATAGGAGTATTTGTTTTGATACAAAATAATTTATTAACATAAAATGCTATCTAGTTCAACGGATCAGCCTTTTGGGTACCATTACTGACGGCGGCGCAGGGGGCGACATATTTTTTATTTTTAAATTATATGTTCTTTAAGCAGTTAAGTAGGTTATGTTTATTTGGAATGTACATTTTAGTAATCATGTAGTTTTTAAGTTTTTGTTATTTAAATGTTAATAAGTGTAAATATACAAATACAATTGCAATGCAAACGAACATACATATATGTATATATATGCATGTATGTTTCTTGTTAAACACTATACGCTGTCTGTGACAACTTACCATCAGGTGGACTGCCAGCTCCTTTACCTGCATAAACTTAAAAACGCACTCGTACGGTACGTTACCTGAAGAGTTGGAGCTCTTGCTGGCTAGTTAATTTTACAGCATAGCAAACGAGATACGTTTATCATCAAACTTACCATCCCATCAGGAATATGGTGAGCGTGTACGCCAGCACTCTCTCTGGTATGCTGGCTGAGGAGTTGGAACTCCTGCTAGCCAGCTGCGCCCACAGCAGCCAACATATTCCCGCCCCACCAGCAGCTCCGCCCACCACCATGTAGACGGGAATGCGTGGCTCCGCAGGGCAGTCACGGATGTATTGGACACCTGTCCGAGAAATATTATGATTAGGTACTGACCAGAATGGTAAAAAGGAGATTGCTCAAATTGGCCCAAACGCACAAAAAATATTGACATACACGGTAATTCTTGGCGTAATTTATAATTTAATTTACAGTCATTAGATTTCAACGGACACCTTTGTATAATATATTTAATTTAAAAAGGACTTTTAATTTTACCGGTTTGGAAAACACACGAATCATTTTTAATGGCTATGGGTGTAGTAACATTCAGCCAAAGACTGATCGAAGTTGTTTACATAACATAAAAACAAATCTTTTTTGTAAAGATCGATAATTTTTTTTTTATTACACTATGGTATTAATATCCACAACTATATTATCATTTTCACTACATGCAAATGTGCTCAGACAATTATTATTATAGATGGTAGGCGACATCATAAAGTCTATTGCCATACATTTTTCGCCAAACACCTCCATAAACACATTATAATCTGTATATATGTTAGACTTTAAGGTATCTATCTATGGGCCTACGTTGCCTGACTATAAATTAATAAATAAATAAATAAAATTATAAGGTGTGATACACTAAAAATCTAAAATATGGTTATATCTAAAACATAACAAAAATAATGAAGGTACTGAATATGGCTATATAACCTAAATCTCTTAGATTTCTTTGGTTAACGAGAGTTTAAAAATTCTCTCTAATCTGTGGCTCATTCACAATCATCACACAGTTTCTGTCACAGAGTACCTTATTATAACCGGAAATGCATAGATGACACCTGATTTTAAAAGTTACTCTTATGCATTAACTTTAAAAACAGGCAACTATTTGTTAATCTACATGCTCTATATACCTGAATCTAATCCATAATTTCGGTACTTGGCTTGATTTCCCTAGTTTACTACATAACTTATTGTTTTTTATTATTTTAATATGTTCAGTGTATATAGTTTATAGAAGTTCTCAGGGGTGTCCGTCAATAATATTCGTTTCTACATTAATTTATATATAATTTCGAATCTTGGAAACAATTTTTCATGATTATTGGTCTTTAGGCCAAACATGTATGGAAGCTGAGCAATCTCCTTTGCTGTTGGTTTTGCATAAATCAAATAAGTTTCTAGAATAAAGTATATAATATAAGCATGAATAAATTTATTTATATTAATTTCGTAACGTGAAAATTAGTAACAGTTATGGTACATTACTGCAATGGCCAGCAAAAGAGGCATTGATGGACGAACGTGTGAATGTGGGCCAAACCGGAGCCAAGGCACATTTACATAAGTCCGTCAATGCTTAGTTATGGCCAAGGCTTGTATAGTACTCTTTTTCAAATAATGCGCTGAAATTAAACGACTTAATTACTTTTCAAATTACATTTGTGTTTTTTTTTCAATAAACAACTTTATATTGTAAGCCACTTTGAAATTAGAATAAGTTATCTCCTTTGTTGCTAAGATTTATTTTTTGTGCTATCGTACACAAACATGACACTTTATATTACATAAAAAAGTTAATCTCTCAGAAAAATCAACTTACATGAATCACATTTAAGCGCACCTAGCGACATCTATTGTAAAAAATGCTTTTTTTCGCAAAAAAACTGCCGCCTGGTCGTCCTAGTTAGAGACTTATTATTATAATACGATAAAATAAAATATTATTATGTTTCGTCCAATATATTGAAAGTCGACAGCCTTTCCAATTTTATTGCTTTCGTCTTACAAATTTTCGTTCAGGCCACGTGCCCTTACGCGAGTTTATAATTTTTTACCCATTACAAAAAAAGGTTTCCAAAGCCGCCAAAGAAGTTTTCACTTTAAAAAAATGTTCAATTTTAAATAACATGACAGTTATGAGTTAAGTATGTAATTTATTTGGCCGCAAAACCATGACAGATATGGATTGTCATACAACTTTTGCATGGTGCTATTTATTTGGCCAGCACAGAAATTTTGATTTATCTCGAAGAAGGTTCTAAAAATAATGCTCAAATTGCCAACTATGTCTGAAAAATTCTTTTTTGGAAATTTATACTGTAAGTAAGGGGTTAATGGTTAAGATAGTAGCTGAAAGCTTATAGTAATAAAATATGTACACTTTAAACTTTATTATTATTTAAGAGCGGATAGACCGAATTGGCTTCATATTTTGTTTTTCCAATTAACATTGACGATTCGTTTTGTATGAAACATAAATTAGAGTCGGAAGTTATTGTATTAAAATATTTATTTTATATTATTTTATTTTATTCATTAAATAGACCCTAAAAATAAGTTGATTTCAATGTTGATATATATGTATATACAGAAAAATGTTTATTCTTTTCATATTATTAAGCAAATCTCTCTATTATAGTATGTTCGCGATGATTTCGAAAATTACAGAACGGATTTTCACGCAGTTTCACCATCAGTTAGATAATTCGTCAGAAAAGATTCATATGTATATGCTGTAGGATGACATGATAAATCGAAGTTTTGCGAAAATACGGATAATTAGACTGACAATGCTCAATCTTACTGTTTGCTTTTTTTTTCTGCCGCTTCGCCAGTCGCTGTTGCGCAGTACGCTCGCTACGCTCGCTCGGCTCGCGCGTCATGGTCACAACACTAATCTTAGTGTGAACGCAAAACTCCAAAAATATTTATAACTAGCGGCCCGCCCTCGCTTCGCCTCGGTGTAGAGCTGAAGTGTATACTACAGTTTTTGTTCTCAGGCTTGTATTATACACAATGACATTCATCTATGATTCTTCTTATACCTGCATGCAAAGTCTCAGCCCGATCGGTTTAAAATTGACAGTTTCATACAAACTTTCATTCCCCATTTTATCCCCTTGGGGGTAGAATTGATCAAAATTCTTACGTCATAACATCTACCTGCATGCCAAATTTCAGCCCGATCCGTCCAGTGGTTTGGGCTGTGCGTTGATAGATCACTATGTCAGTCAGTCACCTTTGAGTTTTATATATATAGATAAATAAGCCAACGATTCTTTTTGCAATGTTACTGAGACGACTCGCGTTTTAACAAGAATCCAATCGTTTTTCAGTAAGATTGAGAAATTTAATCGCCACTGTCTAATTATCAGGCGGGTCCCTAGTCAAACAGTAATCACTAATGAGAGCCATCTGCCAACCATGAATAATTTTAACTAATTAATCCTAAACCGCCAGCACAAATAGCAACTTCATTAATTTGTGTATTGACCCTGGATTGGATTACAGACTGAATGTCATGTTCATTAAATTGATAAACAGATGATATTCCCCACAAATGCATTAAGCCACAATCAATGCCAAATCACGATGAAGGTTGAGCATATTCGCAAAAAAAATGGGCGCCCATGCAACATACGTGATTTATTGCCATTTTTCTCAATATTGTCACAAACGCTCTCGAAACGTAACCGCGAAAGTACTAGAGATCAAATTTGCCAGATCACCGCGGGTCGCGATAGAGGTCGAGTAAGGCGGCATTCTAAAATGAGCCTTATGCAGTGCGGCGTAAGGGTGAAAGTGCAACGATATCTGCACTTGTTTACAAGTTATGCGTGTTACCTGCGTAGGTATAGGTAGGTATTTCGTACTCGCGGGTGCTAGGTAATTCTCAATTTAACAGGCACTTTCTAGAATGCGTCGATCGGCGTATTTAAGCGCGATTAGCGCCGCGCAGAGACAGTTGAGTTTCAACAGCGATTTCGGAGCGAATCCAAAGGCGATTAAAGTGCAACAAAAGTGTTCAAGTGAGATAGTTTAGTGACTTGTATAGTGAAATACAGTGTTTAGTGAGTGTTTTGGAATTAGCATTGTGTGTTAATTGTGTGAACTGTGTGGTGAATAAAGAACTGTCAAGCGTGAACTGGCATATAAATTCGAACCCCATCCCGACACGTAACAATATTATAATACAGTATATATGTTGTATAGATATTGGTACAGAACCCTTTGTGCGTTACTCGCACTTGGCCTTTTTTTAATGTCGTAGAGTACGACATGACTCGATGAAGTTCATGATATAAACGTGGGACATTCAGAAAGTTTTGAGAAACTAAAAAACTAACTCCTATGAAAAAACTACTTTTATTAAATCTTTTCAAAGAACTCTCCACCAGCCTCTATACAAAGTTTCATGCGTCTGAACAGATTTCAAAACATTTTTTTTTCCAATCCTCCGCAGACACCTATTCCACGGCCTTCTCAAACGCTGCTTGCGCTTCTTCCGGCGATGACACCTTATCCCTTTAAGCTGATTTTTTATTTTAGGGAATAAAAAGAAGTCACACGGAGCCAAATCAGGACTGTAGGGAAACTGTCCCAAGACTCTGACTGGTGCGGAGTCCAGGAAGTCCTTCGGTTTGATCGCAGAGTGCACGGGCGCGTTGTCGTGGTGAAGAAGGACCCCGCGGAACCCGGTGTAAGGTCTCTTGTTGCTCATTGCAGAAAACACTTCTGGCAGGCATTTTGTGCTATACCATTCGGCGATGATGCTGCTTTGGTCTCGAAGTGGAATTGAATTAGGTACCCCGTCAAAGTGAAGAAACTAGCGATCAAAATTTTCCCTGTGCTCGTCGATCGTTTCACTTAGGTTACGTTGGTTCATTATGAAACAGCCAAACTGTCGACTGACGCTTTGTTTCTGGATCGTATTGATAAATCCAGGATTCGTCACCTGTTACAATATCGTAAACGCGCCGTGACGAGCCTGCATCAAATTTTTGTATGTATGTATGTATCATATCACTGCACCAATCCACGCGGGCCTGCTTCTGAGCTTCGGTGAGGTTGTGCGGCACCCAGCGGGAAACTATCCTCCTTACGCAAAGGTGCTCATGCAAAATCTTGTGAACACTTCCTGGACCAATCTGCAGAGTATGCTGAATCTCTTCGTACGTAATTCGTCTGTTTTCATGAATTAATTATTTTACTGCTAGCACACTTTCTTCAGTGACAGCCGTCGTAGGACCACTCCTTTGTTCATTCCCCAAAATAAGACGATCGCGT